ATTTGATAATAATGAAAATTGTCATGATAATATAGGCTTCCATTTTCAATAAATCCACCCACCATGCTGTGCATGAAATTTTGAGCAGAACTATATCGATAGATATCGAGGGAATTTTTGTTACCAATTCCAAGTGGATAATATGTTTCACCCCCTATTTTTTTCTTAGAAGAAGAAATATATGGCAATCTCTTCTAATCCTGCCTCATGCCAAAATAATTAAAGTCAGTCAAACTGGAGACATTATTTCAAAATAATTGTTCAAAACCTCAGCTGACCGAATAGAGACGATATGGTGATGATAAAGAATGATATGACATATCAGAAGAAGTAACGAAACTCATTTGGGAGCCTCTATATGGAATCTCCTGAATTTGATATAAACTGTGGAATTATCTGCAGCTGATTTTAAACATGGAACATTCGTATTTCATGAGAAATTTTGTTGTTCATACCACTTCTTTATATCCTATTGCCCAATTTCACGAAGTGTTCGGAATTTTTTTTGGTATGAATGAAGGAAAGCTTCACAAAAATCGATCGAAACTGAGATGAGTGCCATTGAAATCCCCTAATGGTGGTAAATAGAGGTGAAGGAGTACTGGTACCTATTGAAATTTTCTCCTACTGATTTTTGTAAATTTTTTATGAAATCATATGAGGCATTCTTCTGCAGAAAAAATAACTTCATAGTATTATTCTTCATGCTGTCGAATGACTATTTCAAATATTCGACTCATCCCAAATTACCAGGATTGGCTTGGATTTTTTAATTTTCTGTCTCGAAACATTCGATTACTCTGGTGTATCAAGAAATATGTTGTGAACTCACCGTATCCGATTTAATAATTGTTTAATTTGGCAAGAATCGTCCAATCGGTAGCTGAGATATAGAGGAGGGGCCGTTTAAAGTGAGACACGCTGTATGTATGATAATGTGATAATTATAGGATGAGTGTATTTACTGCGAAACGAAATACGACAAAAATTCAAGAGAAGAATATCAGGGCATCGAATGAACTTGACAGCGAAACCTTCACAGCGAACCATCAAGTAGCGATTTGTTCTGGAGAAGTGTTTTTCTACTAAAGAATTCAGGGTGGAACCTATAACCTGGCAGAATTGTACCTTGCCTTACTTATCCCATGAATGCAACTACGATACAGTAATATGTAGATACTTAAAACATAGATTTTTCGATGATTTGATAATCGTTAAAGAACCAACGCGCGAAAATCATACTATTTCTGTTAGTTCCTTCAACTATTTTATACCGTTTTCCACTGGACTGAAAGTATGCACTCAGTATATAATATGTACTGAGTGCATACTTATCATTATCATCTATCCTTTAATGATAACATGACAACTGAAGCCGAAAAATGCGGAAAAAGTTCGAGCATTTTGTAAACGGTAGTAGGGTAGTAGTAAAAGTAGTATTGTGAGCCTACTCAAAATCCAGCGTTAGACGATTCAAATGGTTTACATAAAATCAATAAGATTTTAAAGGAAGTAGTCAGTCAGAGGTCAGGATATTTCAATCTGAAACATTATTAAATATTTTTTGATCTGAGAATACAAATCAATAAATCAATTCTTGACTATAAAAAAAAGGAAGCAGATGAATTGAAGCAATGCACGGTTCATCTCCATCCAGATTTTACTCGCGGTAAATTTCTAGCCGTTGAATATTACCCTGTTATTATCGATGATTTTGGCACCTTGAAATATTTGAGTGATGATTCTATTCAAGAAATGATGGTTCCTTACCTAATATTACAGTTATCTTGATATTTCTGAGATGCAAAATGATATGATTGAACCCAAAATAAGTTATTCGTGATGCCATCAATTGACAGCAAATGAAATAGTCTATCTACTCCTAATTCCCTCAGGGGCTGACGACTTGTGAGTATGGAAATGGCAATCCCGAGGTACCCTAGCCAGATACTCATTGATATATAACTTGTCTTTGGTGGTATCCTCTTCACTCTTCAGTTTTCAATCTGTTTGTATCGACCTCTCTTGGTCAATTCTCTTTTTTTCCTTGTCCCCTTTGGCCCAACCTCACCGCAGCTGCTTGGCAGACTGAGCATTTTGGGGACATCTTTGCTCTTATCACTCGGATGAGACAGTTTTGTGGACATCTGAGTGCAAGGATGGAGCAATTTCTGAAAATCTGCTTATGTGGCCGTGGTTTTGGCAACCTAATCCAACTTGTGGGGACCCGTAACGAAGGATGAATGGCACCAAGGTTATATGGTGTCGATAACAGGACCTATGAGAAACAGGGCGACATCTCAGAGTAAACAGCCTTAGCCCTGTGCAGTGGGCATCACCAACCCCTTTCCCTATTACTCGTAGAAGAAGGAACACTTTTCGTCTTCTTCATGGGTGAGACCAGGGCTCGGAAGAGTAGTCTTCAGGGACCTGAATGATAAAGGTCTTTCAAAAGAATCTCTGGTTCTGTGAGCAGCAGTGCTCACAGTTACTGTGACGGCATATGAAGAAGCCCTTATATGAGAACCATGGGTCATATATGGTGAAACAATAACGGCATATTCGAAGTTCAACGGTAGAAAGGGCCAACAGGCCTGAGTTTCATCGGAGACTTCGGTCAGACGAGCCTTGAAAGGAGGTAGAGTGATTAGTGGGTTCATCTATATGTAGGGATACTCACACTACAATGAAGGGAACTGTCTTTCGTGGTATCCATGAAGGATTTTGACCACCTCCGTAAGATAAAATAGGTCACTGCAGTCATGCTGTATTTCTATATAGTTCTCGAGAGGTGAGGAGGTATTCACAATGAAAACTCCAATATACAAAGTATTGTATGTATTCCAGGCGTAACTTGCTTTTATGGACCTAGGCGTTTTAAATAGCCCCCCTCTATCACTTGTGCTCTTACTTACACGCTACGGTCCATGAAAGCCTATTTTACGCCCTTGGTTCATAAACTATTTTTCTCCATCAAAAAATTGTTATCAACTACAAAAGTAGAACGACTGATATTTGATGTTATAGACTATAAGGAAGCAAGAAATTCCAAATGAACAGATTTCTTCCATGGAAGATGAAAATAATAATTTGGCTCGTATACCACTACTTTACAATACCATATTCATAAATAATTATTAAAAATGCTACTAGGGAATGAAGCTTATGAAGGAAATAGCCCAGGAGATATATGTTCAACATTGTATCTTGTTCGCTCTGAAGGTGATCGCACTATAAATATCTTCTGGTTGTCTATGATTGTGGGCCCCACAGAATTTGCTGTATTTGATTTCGTTGTAGATTATTGTTTCCCGACTTGAATGTCCTGATCAATTATGGTTTATATTTTCTCCACACAATGACGTTTCCTGATATATGAGTATAGGTCTATTTGGAAAAAATAGGATCTATATCGTGGTAATTGAACGTTTGATAAACACATACACTGACGACACATATATTCATAACATTCACTCTTATTATTCTTGTATTTTTTTAGAATCTGAAATAATAGGTGTCTATGAATTTATATATTTGGAAATATCTTGTTATTTCAATAGTAAACGTAATATGAGTTGAAGATGAACTTCTATGAGTCTGATCTCAACTTTAGAATGTGGCGGATGAAACAGTTCCATTTTACTTTCTGAAAATTCCAATACAACATATAAATGGCAGATTGAATAAAGATATTGAAGAAGCCGACGTCATGGAACTATAGAAAACTTGATTTTCAGGTTAATCATTTGAATAACTGACCAATGTTTTCAACTTCAGTCCACAACAAAGTAGATTCAACATTGGGTTCTGATATTTCATTTAATGAAAATGTTCAATTCTGCATGGCAGTGGCAGTATCAACATTTTATCAAAGACAAAATTTAAATTTCACCGATCTCAGAAAAAATACTAACACCCAGTATGTATATCATCAAACAACTTCGATAGCAGCCAAGATGTCTTTGTCTCACAATGTCCGTTCTCCAGAGTACCGACTGAATTTGTATGATTACAGATACGAGGAAAAATCGTGGAAAGTATTTCTTCAAACATTCCGAGATATATGAAACATGAATTCAATTGTTTGTCATTAAATGAAAAATCGTGATACTAATCTGAGAAGAACATATACTCACGATGGAAGGTGAATCATGATATAATGATTGACAAAAGACAAAAAAAAACATATAAAGATTCGTTATGTAAGTTTGTACTATTTCTCATTCGACCTATATATTCAGATCAATACTCTCGAATAATATATACAGGGTGATTCAGGTCGATGAACATACTAAAGTGGGTGATAGATCTCATCATTTTGATCAAAAAAGTACATGTAATCATAAGTAGCGGAGCTACAGAGGGTCAAATTTCAATTATTTTCATCTATCAATTTATATCTCGCTCACTTTTTGAGACAAACTGAAATTTGGTATGGTTATTACTTCCAGAAAAATCATCATTCAGCATTTAGAAGCTGTTCTAAATCTACAGGGTGACTCGTTTTTGGAAGTAGAAACTTCTTTATCCCCCTAAACTTTTTTAGTTTTTTGTAGTACGATTCTGACATCTCACAGTTATTTCTTTGATTGAAATGAGATTTTTTACACATTTCAGTTTTTACCTCAAAACCTAAATCACCATGTATATGTACTTGTGATTTTCCAATATCTCAAATGGATATCAGAAGAAATACTCACCTTTCAGTCCAAAGTTTACGGTAGAAGAACTTTTACTTTTATATAAATATAAATCTTATGGACAATTCAAATAAGTCACAACATACAAGAAATCTGTACAAATAGGCCACCTGGTAAATCCTAGGTAAGTAAAACAATCTGTGATATCATGATTTCATTGTGCGTGGAGATGCACTCATTTCGCATTATGAAACAAAAAACTCTTGTTGTTAAGAATATACTAATATGTGGGAAATTCGTAATTATTCTGACATCGGCGAAAATCTTAAATAGTGAATGGATTCAGGTACTGCAGTCGCCTCAATTAATTCTATTCACTGTCGATGGTAACCGTTTCACCATGACTTTATAGAAATCGTGTGGAGATTCAGTATCATAGATTTTGCGTCCATTTTCATCATGGAAGTCATGGTACCTCACTGTTTTCTCCACTGTTAGACCAAAGCTCTCGCATATCCTCTGGGTGAAAAGGCTTGTTGCATCGACTTTCAGGAGCTAAAAAATACAAACAAGTTGAAAAATGTTCTAGACCGTATACAAACAAGATGATGCTATCCACCTCGAGATGTGTCAACAATCGAGTTCGTTAATTCACAGAACGGCAAGAATTCGAAATTGTTTGCCAAGGGTAGTATTCTCAAAATTTATACGACCGACAAATGTTACAAAAAAGACACAATTCCTACCTACATTTTATCCCTATCCTCTCTAGATATGCACGATGTTCCTCGATCATAATGAGGATTCCCTCTTTCGTGCGCTCCAAAAAGAAAAAAATAAATGTTCATCTCTATGATGGAAAATTCAAATTTAATTTGATCATCCATTAGATGTTACCAAATATATGCACGAAATAGTCGTAATATGTATATATAATATATATTCAATATTCATGCATCAAATGAGACTGCTGAACAAGTTGAAAATGTATATCACTTTTGACTAATTTGACTAGTTTTGAGAGAAGACGAATGCCTGTGATATGTTCTGCATGGATATTATACAGTGTGTCCACCTTAAGGACTTACCACCCCTGTAAAATCGTTATTATCCGACCAATTTCAGAAAACCGGTTTTGTTGGATATGTATTTGAAATGCCCATCCAACGAGAGAGTGATCTAATTCTTGGACTTTTATCGTGGCCAACTGCGACAAATTTCAATGACCCATATTCCAGAAAGTACTATTAGGGATTTTTTTCCACGAAACTTGATGATGGATTCTGAATCAGTACCACTTGAAATATACCTGTACCGATTTTCATCATCATAAAACACAGGGTGTCCGAAAAAACGAATCATCATTATCTTCAAATATAGGTGATCAGCAAATGTAGTTCTGTGGTTTTTCTAGAAAGAAATAATCACAAATTATAATTGGGGATTGTTTCGAATATACCTGTACCAATTTTCGCCATTTGAATATACAATGTGTAGGTATGAGAAAAAAATTAAAAAGGATAGGTTAGCAATATTTTTCATCCTGATAATTGTTCACTCAAAAGAAAAGATGAATCAGGATCACTTGGAACATACCTGTACCGATTTTCAACATCATTAAACACAGGGTGTTCGAAAAATCAAATTAATATTTTTTTGTGGATGATGAAAAAATATTGCCTACTTTTTCTTTTTAATTGTTTTCTCATACACATCGTATTTTTGAATGATAAAAATCGGTACAGATATGTTCAAAGTGATCCTCAATAATAATGTGTCATCAATTCTTCTTAAAAATACCACAATACTACATTTTCTGATCACCTAGTGAAAAAAAACATAATTCGTTTTTTCGGACACCCTGTGTTTTATGATGATAAAAATCAGTGAAGGTGTTTTTCAAGCGATCGTCATTCAGAATCCATCATTGTTTTTTGTGAAAAAAAATCCCTAATAGTACGTTCTCAAATATGGGTCAATAAAGTTGGTCGCAGTTGGCCACGATTACAGTTCATGAGGAAAGCCACTCTCTTGTTGGATGGACATTTCAAATACCTATCCATCAAAAAAAAGTATTTTGAAATCGGTCCAATAACAACAATTTTACAGGGGTGGTAAATCCTTAAGGTGGACACACTGTATATAACACACAGTGCATTCTTATTAATTTTTAAATTATCATGACCTGTTAGTAGAATATTCAAAAATATAATCGAATAGAACATATTAGTGCAATTTTCAAATTTTGATGGCGCAGAACTCTCTTTGTTCGTCTACTGATTCTTTGATCATCAAATCCTCATCAGTTCACCCCAGTTCTGATTCCATACGGAGCCACATTGAAGAGGAAATATAGATTTGCAAGTTGATCAAATCTGTAAGTACCTATCAATGCATTTCAAATATTCCAATACTTCGATCAGTGTGAAATATGAGTTGTGAAACTTCGATATTTCCTTATTTGAACTACATAAGATATCTAGTGAATTCAGATAATGAATAAGAAACAGCCCACGAAAAATTATCTTCTAGTATTCATCAAATTGATTTCCATCAACTAAATATTATGAATTTCAATAGGGAATATTCATACAACCTTAAAATCATTTTCTTCTGCTATAAGTTCGCTTCTTGCGAACAGTTCTTTGGCAAGTCCTCTTCCTCTGTATTTGTTGTCTACCGAGAGTATCCGTAGATCAAAAATCTTATCGACTCCATATTTACTGAATAAATCCAATTCCTTGTTGGTGGTGTTCAATAGGCCAAAAATTCGTTGGTAAGGAATGCTGTCAACGCTCTTCATTTCTTCAAGGGTCCTCTCTGCATCACCTATTCTAGAAGTTCCGTTCAACGCAACTCCTGCTATCTGGAATCATATGATATTGGAAACGATAATAATAAGGACGATAGTTGATATATTTTCAATATCCAATTGAACTAATGCGAACTGTAATTCCATTCGAATGTTAAAAACTTCACAAACTATAAGGTTTCCACAGAATTCTAAACCACACTACATGTACACAGTAGCTTCTTTAGGTGACATACTCTCAAATTTGTTTTCTCAGTAAATAATATGTGCTATCATACCTTTCGAACTCGCTTTCAAGTTGATCCGGTAGGTACTACACTGAGAAAATAAATGGAAATTTGTATAACCAAATGTAATGGTGGTTTCGAATTAGTTTCATCGAACACAAGACATATTCGTGATATCACTCATTTGAGTGATCAATACCTAGACAAACCTATTGCATAGCACCTCCGAATATTAACAGTTCAGATTATTATTCACCACTACATCAAATAACATGGTCCATATCCAGTTATTTATAAATATCTCTTATGTAGTGTTATTAGGATTGTGTTGAATGTTACCCCCCTGATATTTCTATTTACCACTATACGTATTAGTGCGCAGGATAATAATAATAGGTTCACTTTTTGTGATGTACAAATCTACCACATCAGAGAGTATTATGCCGAAATCACGAAGCCGATCGTCGACGTTTCGTTTTTTTCAATGCAGCTGGCTTGGGGTTGGCGTGGTCGTTTCATTAGTTCATAGTTTATCTTTCGTTGCGTCGTCTCGTGAATTATGAATTAAGTAAATTTCATTGGCCAATGAAGTTTTCATCTGCAGGGCATGTGTATAGTGTAAGTAGCTACTTACCTTAAAACTGTGGTACTGTGAAGTGTGAACTGTACCTGATAGTGGTAACTCGAAGAGTTGTTACCGGTGCTCAACAGTAAGTAAAATACCTATTCGTTTCATCTTGAAACTGAAATGGCAGGTGAACGTTGCACGCATTATTGAGGATTACAAGAAAATCTCAATTTTGTTGCACACAAAAATCAAATTTACACAATAATTTGATTATTCTCTTATTCCCAACTTCATTCATATACTTACTAACATATCTATCTTCACCACCTACCTAATTTTCATAACATATCTGCAAATTATTGAGATTCTGAGATATTTTACAGTTTTTTCTCCAAATAAGTATGTACCTGATGGCGGTAGAAAAATATTGATTCAGAGTTTGAACAGACAAAAATGAACGAATCTATAAGTAGAAATCACCAGTTTGTAGTGGTGAATATGAATCAAATAAATGGAGAATAAATGTATTGTTTGTAGTGGTGAATACGAACCGACGATCATGGTATTATTCACTCATTTGTAGTGTTGAATAATAACTGTACAGGTAGGGTCCCTGATAACTGGTGCTTCAGTATGTCATGTTGCCTCAAGACTCATACTTTTTTGTAGTGGTTATATTTGATGAATGCAGTGACTGGTGCCTATTTAACCACAACGCTTGGTATGGTATAGTGATCTTTAGGTATTCACAACGGATAATTTCTCTTAGTGTACTTTCTGGAGATGAGGCTAAGCTGACCTTTCCACAGGTAATTTTAATCCTCAAGGTTCAGAAAGTAGGATATAGGGAGTTGGGCAAGTCAATGTAAGTTTAATAAGTTTAGTTTACGAGTATCTCACCTGAAGAAGCTACCGTGTTGTTACCGAAACAGGTCGTGTGGTTGAAAATTTTGTGAAAATCTCATCATTTGCGAAGTTTTCCATATTTACTATGGATTTCCATCAGGTAACGGCCGAGTCAATTGAAATGAGGGTCATTCCATTCGGTCAGAACATATTTCTCGAACAACTAGGAGAATGAATTTGGATAAGGAAGTTAGTTAGTAAACAAAAGATAATTATCCTGATGAAATCAAGAATTACCTAAACAGAAAAAAGAATCTATGTTGACTAGAGTTTCTCAGAATGGAAAGGGTGGAACTGTTTTGAAATGATAAACCACGATATTTTTTCAGTTCTGATGAAATAAGACATTTGTTGCAGTCGTTCTGAGCTATTCGCGTATCTGAAATACATATCTATTGTTGTGTTTCAATTTTTATTTGCTAATCCTTAGCTACTATTACGGATTAACACCTATTTTCCAGAAAACCATCGAAATAACCACATGAAATTTCAACCCAATCGGTTCAGCCGGTGAAAAAGATAGGTAGGAAACGATAATTCTTACTACCCGTTGTCCTATTACTCGTTTTCTCGTAGGGATGAAGCAGTTTCCTGCGGTGAAAAGTAGCCTATGTTCATCAGGAATAATGTCGGCTTCTAACGGTGGAAGAATTTCTCAAATCGGTCTAGTAGTTTCGGAGCCTATTCAATACAAACAAACAAATCTATCTCCTTCATAATATTAGTCTAGATAACTACAGCAATTGAGATATTTTCTGTTCAAGCAAACACTTTTTGAATTCAAACACATTGAAATGAAAATTGGAGTCTATTTGAATCATCAGAACCCTCTGTGACACTCTACTGATTATGATATAATTCAAAATCAGTTTATTCTTCCGCATCGTTGTGTATGTCATACGTGTATGAAACAATATCAATACCAATCGAGTGAGATATTCAACAAAAAATTTGAAATATAATGTCGAAGGAAGCATAATCGTTAGCTGATTAAAAACAAAATACTGCAATTATTGATCAGATTGTGAGCAACAGCATTATATGATTATCAAAGCAGATATCTTCGCAGATTCATTGAATTAATTGCTTGCACACAAAATTCATTATGAATGTTCAAATCAACCCCTGTTTTCTACTACTTCTATATAAACCATTCGGAAAATGCACGTTGAAAGTAACTCCATACTAACTTCTAAGGGTGTTGTTTTTCGATATCAATCAAATAGTTGAGTAACTGAGTATGTATGAACACTGAAGCATATTAAAACCACTTCATACCCGAAATAAATATGTGCATGAATATCGATTCATGATACCACGAGAGTATCAAATATTACTGAATTTTTTTTCGAAAACTCGAATATTTTGGAAACATCCTAAATATTCGTGTTCGTTCGTGAAAAAAATCCTGTTTTCTGATTGAAGCTAGAGTCGTACTCGGTAAGAAAATTTCACACCAATATATCATTACAAAAACACTGGTATATGATTACGCAAAAGAAAATACAAAATACCGACCTTAGTTACGCGAATTGTCAATAAGGCAGCTGCTAGTAGTTCAAACAATTATTCTTGACTACCTAATTTAATTTCACTGAATTTGGTGAAAACATATTTCGTCACAAGGATGTTGAAGCAATATGTGATTCACATCCATAAAATTGCTAGGTAAAGTAGAACACAATTAAATTATTCAATTTACACAAAATAATGAAAAATAGGTCGATATAGTAGCTCAATTCCTCAGTTTTTCACAAATTCGTTGGAATTTGTTCACCTTATATCATTAGGTTGGATAAAATATAACGACTTCAGTTGGATAAAATAATAAAAATTAATCTATTAATTCAATACGAATTAATTTAGCTAAAGTTGGAAGAAATATATATTCTTACAAATGTTATTCTACCTATAAACTTCAAAAATTGTCTAGTGTAATTTCATGCTCCTTTCCGCAAGGAGGAAAAAGTTTCCGGAAATTTGATTAGTTGCTATGTTAACGATTCGAAATACAGGCTATAAATCGGTCGAAAATTTTGGGTGTTAAATTTTTTCTCTGAAAACTATTACGTATCCAGTTTCTACCTTATCATCATCTTTTATTTTTGAAGGAGATGACGTTTCATTGTGATGAAATTAATTATTTTATACGAATGTTCGGAGTTTTGATGAACTCCAGAATGATAGAGGTTGTAATATTTTTATTGACACCTCGAAATAAAGTGCTTCCATCGCTTTGATATCAAGGTCAGATTATCCTTTTTTCCAACAGTGATTTCTTACTACCTCATTATATTCAGTTTATTTTCAACTGCTTTCCATTCATTTAGATGGAGCCTTGTTTTCATAATAATTAAAAACCTGGAGATCTGATGAGTTCTCAATTTTGCTAGCAATCAAGGATTCCGAGCTTCTAAATCATTTTCAATTAGGAACTGGAAAATCCCTCGCAATAAATTGAGGGTCTACCGGAATTCATCTGCTAGATAATGATGTAGTTTAGGAATCTTTTGTGGACTCGTGTAATTCCAATCATTCTGATAAATGGATGACGGTATTTGTACGTAATCGTACGATCCATCTGATTTTGATAGCAGTAAAACACAGAATAAACGGGAAACCGGCACTATAATAATATGGAATATCATCGTAAGCACACGAAATAGAAGCCAGAAAATCATTATACCAAGATGGATTATCTTAATTGGAAGGGCGATTCGTGATGATACAAAGAAAGATTAAAATTACTTAAAGGTCAGGATATGCAACTGAACTGATATTAAATATTCACGCAATTTAAACAGCTCATGAGGTATATCACGGCAGCTAAGTTTTCCTGATTGTATTTGAGAGTTTTTTTCTGAAGAATTTGCATCAAACTAGTTTTATATCGATCCTTCTCAAAGTGGTCCAATTTTTCGAAGAACAAGAAAAATACCAAGTCTGTCGACTATAAATCATATTAATACGTTATATAGATATAGTGTTAGTTTGGCTGAGTTTGGTTCATGTCATTTGTTTTGTATCATCTGTTACTCTATCATTCCGTCAATGTATATTATTTCACCTGTTCCTCATCTTTTGTCTAATGTAATGGCCAGGTGAGATGAAACTCGTTTGAGTGAATTTAACGATTATTTTACCAACTTTTGCATGCCAATATTGAACTGTATTATCATTTCGTTCTCCTGGCTCTCCAGTCGAATTAAAAATCAGAAGTTTGCCTTACCGGAATAATTTTTCGAGTGTTCGACCCGGACTTTTTGAAGTTTCGATTTCCACATGGCTTCTAAGCCCACGTAGCAAAATAATACACCAAGTAATGTGCTAAGGATATTGCTGAGTGGTATGAG